TTGTATGATTTGGTGGCTATTATTACGAGTGTATCACACAATCAGTGCTAATATATTAATGACGAAAATATTTTGTCGCTTTTGATCCACACTTTGCTGTCATTTATCACAAAATGTGTGTATTTTTGGCGACACTTTCAACGCCTATTCAATGCATTGATCGCTGATTGAGAGGCTATTATTGAATGCATTGAATGCCAATACAGGCAGACATACAGTGTGTGTATGTGTTGAGTGTATTGTACGCCAAAACACTGTATGTATGAAACGAGTCAATCAAACGGTTAACTCAACACTCATTCAAATGAATGCCTTTTTTGCATCAATTCTTTGGGACGCCTTTCGCGCACATACTTTATGAACGACCCGTTTGTGCGTTCAGTTCAATGCAATCAACAAAAGTTTCATTTCATTCATTCATTGCGTAAATATTTTCACCATTTCTTACGACTGATACACAAAACATGAATATTTCACTCGTTTTCAAAGCTATAGTTTAGTCGCGAAAGTGGTGTATATTTGGCGGCAATATGTCGTGTAATGTGTTATGAAATGCAAAACCGATTGAAACGACAAAAACTTATATATTTTACGCCGTTTTCTATGGACTCACAGCACGAGTGAGTCACGCGTTGCGCGTAACCCATGGCTACGGCAGCTGAGAGCCAATGAGAGGCCACGACTCGGTTGTCAACTCTAACGCAGCGCTCGATTCGAACGCAAAGAATATTCGATTCATTCGATTCGACGTTCGATTGAATGGTTTGTTTGCATTCGAGTCATGATTCGACTGAAAGAGTGGTCACAGAAGTGGTCACTACTCGTGAGCGCAGACACAGACATCACTCGCAACACATCCACAGCACATGCGATGGCGAACCCACGCAAGAGAGCCATCGATCACACCATCGGACACACGGATCACCAGTTGGTCCCCAAGTGTTGGCCACCAATCGAGCCATTTGTGGGACAATTGGTGCGGGAATTGGTGGACACGTTGGCAGACATGGAGGTCGACACCAACACCACCGCCACTGATGATATCCGCAGCCAATCTCTGGCTCCAGACGCTGACCCACCGGAAGGCAAACCCATTGAAGTGATTGTCCGCCGCAGAGGTGTGGACACGGATTGGACACCATTTGCAGCAAACAGTGGACCACTTGTGGAGCGCAACAACAGAGCGACCGCTGAGGAGGAAGTGGTGCTCAACGACCGCAACGACGCGGACGACAACAGCAACAGTTGTGGCACTCATTTGGTGCCAAATCTGGACCACTATATGGTTAGCGAAGACTTTCAAGAGTTCGCGCAAGACTTGGATGACGTTCGCCACCGATTGGCCGCCAAACGGGTCGCCACTGATATGGCGGACACCAAACGCCACAAGAAGTACGAGGAGATCGTTGGCGACGACTTCGAGGACACCAAACGCGCGGCCATTGC